TCTAATGTATTTCAGCTCTTTGCGCCTCTTTTGAAATCCTCAAATCTGGATTTGGGCCTGATCCACTTCCCCAGTCCCAATTGGTTAGACCAGGTTGGTTGGTTCAACCAAGCCCCTGGTTTATGGACTTCTTTCTCCTTCATTCTTTCTCCCTAAATCAGTGGCAAAGGCAAGTACTTGGCTGGATTATGCCTTTCCCTTTCCCTTTGTCTAATTTCTTGAACTTCATCAAGCTCCTACGAGGCTCGGCCAGTCTCTGCTCCTTGCCCCAGATTCACCCCGTGAACCTTGTTTTTTTTGCTTTCTGGGTCACACCTGGCAATGCACAGGGGTTACTCCTGGTTTTGCACTCAGGAATTACTCCTGGCAGTGCTCAGAGGACCAAATGGGATGCTAGGAATTGAACCCGGGACGACCGCGTGAAAGGGAAATGCCCTACCCGTTGTACTATCACTCCAGCACTACCCCTGAGCTTTGTACCCCCATGGTCACCCATCTCTCTCCTTTGATGAGCTTTCCCTTATGTCCATTTCTTGAACGGGGCCTACCTGAACATTCTCTTCCTTTCCTGAGTTCTTTCTCTGATACGAAGGAAATACACTGAGGCTGTGGATGCAGGCCTGGGCTTTTGCAGAGAACTGAGTGATTTTGCTTCTTGGCATCTTCCCCGTCCCCCAAACACAAAAACATTAACTGGAACAAGATACAAGCTCACCTATGTTCATGGCGGAACTGAGTATAAGAACCAACAACAACCAACCAACAAGTACCCCAAACATCCCAGGACAGATGAACAAAGAAAGGCGTGGTTGTCTAGATACACAATGGAATACTATGCAGTGGTAAAAAAAGATGGTATCCTGTAGTTTGTTGCAACATGAATGAAACTAGAGAGCATCATGGTCAGCAAAGTAAGTCAGAGGGAGGAGGAGGACAAAGGGACAATCTTAGAAACAAAGGAGAGACACAAGGCCAGGGAATAGATATAATCAAAGGGTAATAGACACGTGGTCCTGGAATGCAGATTTGAAACACAAAGATGGGTGGCAGTCGGGGTGAGAGTGGGGTGACTAGGGGACAGTGGTAGAGGGCGTGGTGTGGGGCACTTTGCTTTGTGGTGAGGTGTGATAGCTGTACATTGAGACCCTAAACCTTCAGAGGATTGTAAATGCACGACCCAAATTCTAATAAATATTTGATTTAATTTGTTTTGGGGCCACATCCGGCAGTGCTTGGGGCTTACTTCTGGCTCTGTGCTTAGGGGGGATCACTCCTGGTAGGCTCAGTTATCAGTCCTGGCAGTGGGCCCGAGTACCATGTGGAGTGCCAAGGATTGAACCCAAGTCAGCTGCATGCAAGGTAAACATACTGTCCACTGTACTATCACTTTGGCTTTAATAAGTGAAAAAAAAAATTTTTTTTTTTTTTGCTTTGGGGACACTCCTGACTGTGCTCAGGCCTTGCTCCTGACTCTGTGCTCAGGGATCACTCCTGACAGGCTCAGGGGACCATATGAGATGCCAGGGATTGAACCTGGGTTGGCTATATGCAAGGCAAGTGCCCTACCCAGTGTACTATCTCTCTAGTCCCGATAAATGATGCTTTTAAAATAAAGAGAGGTGGCGGGAGAGGAGGTGGGGAGAAAGGGGAGGTGTGGGAGACAGAAGAACCGAAGCAGGAAAGCTGTGTGTCTACAATGCCTTGCATTTGCAGCAGAAGTTCGAGAGAGGGGCTGGAGCAATAGCATGGCCAGTAGGGTGTTTGCCTTGCACACGGCCGACCAGGGTTCGAGTCCCAGAATCCCATATGGTCCCCCGAGCACCTCCAGGAGTAATTCTGAGTGGATGAGCCAGGAGTAACCCCTGTGCATTGCCAGGCATGACCCAGAAAGCTAAAAACAAAAAATCATCTCTAAAAAAGAGGTGTTCTGGGGCTGGAGTGATAGCACAGCGGGTAAGGCATTTGCCCTGCACGTGCCCGACCCAGGCTCGAGTCCCAGCATCCCATATGGTCTCCCAAGCACCGCCAGGAGTAATCCTGATTGCATGAACCAGGAGTAACCCCTGTGCATCGCTGGGTGTGACCCCCCCCCCAAAAAAAAAGTAAAAAAAAAAAAAAGAGGTGTTCTTTATCATTATGTTCTTCTCAGCTAGCAATATAAAAGCAGCAAACGTGCATTCTTCCAACCATGAGGGAGGTAGGGGCATTGTCCTAGCCGTTAGGAAACCCTGAAGGATAAGAACCATGGAAATCTCGGGAATTCGAAACGGCGAACTTCAGACTTGGTCAGGACCAGAAAGCAAATACTGAGGAGAATCAGCACTTTCCTCTCTGTCGTCTTGACTGTTTTTGTGGGATCCCATATTTCCTGTGCTGAAGGGAGAAGACAAGCCAGCTTGTCTCTTAATTGCTTTAGAGTTTCACTTGCCTCTTTCCTCTTTTTGAAGTCTGGAGATTTATGGAACAATAAATGCCATTTACCTGCTGGGTGCGATTTCGGATTCCTCCTCCGTGTTTGGAGAAGTCCAGTAAAAATAGTGCACTGAAAAGCTTATCAAATTTGAAATGACACCAAGTGGGATTGTGTAGTAGATTATCCCCTGAGAAGCAAATTCAGTGGAGGCTACCTCAAGGGGCGTGTTACTTTGTTTTTTAAAAGTAGCAGGGCCGGCAGGTTCTGGTTGGCTGCTTTTCTTCTGGTTGCCTTGGGAGTTTGGGACTCCGGGAAGGGAGGTTTAACTTTATTTTTTCATTATTATTATTATTATTATTAGCGGTAGCACAGTGGTAGGGCGTTTGCCTTGCATGCAGCCAGCCCGGCCAAGCTGGGTTCGATTCCTCCGCCCTTCTCGAAGAGTCCCGCAGCTACCGAGAGTATCTCGCCCGCATGGCAGAGCCTGGCAAGCTACCCATAATGTATTCGATATGCCAAACACAGTTAACAACAAGTCTCAAAAAAAAAATGGAGACGTTATTGGGCCCGCTCGAGCAACTCGATGAACAACGGGAGGACAGTGTTATTATTATTATTATTATTGAGGCACCGTGATTTATAAAGTTACTCATAATTGAGTTTCAAGCATATAATGTTCCAACTTCACTGGTGTCCACCTGATGGAGGCTGAACTTATAAACAGGAATGGATGGGTTGGGTTGTTGGCGGATGTTATTAGGAACCATAATTCGAATATCTGCCAGAATGGTGGGCCCCCGCAGAGGGGTTCAAAGGGAAGCACATTACGGGTGAAGCCCTGGGTTTGATCCCTTGCCCTGAAAAAATGAGAAACAAAAAAAAATCGTGTGCAGAGCTGTAACAGTGTAGAAAATGAAAAATCCTGTGGCAACATCAAAAGTGGCAGCGTAGGAACCCCAAAGTTCCCAAGCCCCAAACAAGGTTTTGTTTTTTTTTTAATTTATTTTTTTAAAATCCCGTGTGTGTATGTGTGTGTTTTGCATCTTTATCAGAGCAGAACCTTGCTTCTCAGGGAAGAAAAGTCTGAGTAACTGAAGGGGTTGAGGCCAGAAGGGGCCTTCTCCACTGGGGCAAAATCTCTAAAGACCTAGAAAGAAAATGCGCTGGAATTTTCTCTCTAGAACCCGGCTACCCAAATTAGGGTACCCCTCACCCACCCACACCTTCCCCGCGTCCATCCTGGCACGCACAAGCCAACTCCTCCAGGCAGGCAAGGGGGATCCCAAGGGTCCCCATAGGCGTGGGGGAAGCAGGAAGGGAGTTGCCCACCCCCCCCCCCCCCCATCCCCAACCCCGGTGGGCCGTCTACACCGCCAGGATTAAGCGAATACACACCTGGGCGGGGAAGGACTGAGTTCCGTGGCCTTCCCGGGGGCGTTTACAGGGATCCCGAATGGGCGGCGGGGGTGTAGCCCTAGCTTGGGGAGCTGGAGGGGTGGCGGAGGTGGGGTAGGGGGCACTTCGCGCTGGGATCCCGGCCGGAGCCCCGACGTCAGGGCCCTGCCCCGGGGTCCAGGGGGACCGGGAGACGTGGCGGGGCGGGCGCCGGGGCCCACGCGCGCAGAGTGGGGGGGAGCTCCCCGGGTGGGACAGCCTCGCGGGGACCGGATCTGGGCCGCGGCCGGTTCCTAGAGGCCGCACCCGTCGCCGTGGCCGGGCCGGACTAGGGGGAGACGCGCGAGACGCGGAGCCCACGACGGCCGCGGGGAGTCGCTCCTCGGGCCGGGCTGGGGGAGCGCGTGCCCGCCGCGGGGCCCCGGGGGCCGGCGTGTCCCCGGGCCGAGGTCCCCGCGGCGGGGGGAGGGGGTGCCCGGGAAGCCCGCGGGGGAGCCCCCCGCGCGCACGCGCGCCCGACGGGTGGGAAGGGGCGCGGGGCTGCCTTTGTGCCCGGACGGCCGGGGGCTTCTCCTCCCAGGGGGCCTTCCCTGCCCGCGGCCCCCCGCCAGGCCCAGAGGGGGTGCAGGAAGCGGGCGGCGGACGCTCCTCGCCGGCGCTCCCTGGCGCACAGCTGGGCACGGGGGGCATCTCGCCGCGCCCGCCGCGCTGCCCCCTGGCTGGGGGTGCTCCCCAGCCCCGCCGTCCCCGCAACGCTCGGGCCGGGCCGAGCCGAGCCGAGCCGAGCCGGGCCAGGCCGGGCCGCGCCGGGCGCGCCGGGCGCTCGGAGCGCAGCGGCCGCCGGCAGCGACGGGGTTAAAGGCCTGGAATGTGGCGGCGAGGAATGTGCATGCAAATGAGGCGCGCGGGGGGCGGGGCGCACGCTAATGACATGCAAATGAGGGCCCGGCGGGCGCGCCGCGGCCGGCGCTCGGGGCAGCCGCTTCCCGGATCGGAGCGCGGACGGCGGCGGCGGCGGCGGCGACCCTCGGCCGCGGCGGGGGGACGGGGAGGAGGAGGAGGAGGAGGAGGAAGAGGCGGAGGCAGCGGCCGGCAGCAGCAGCAGCAGCAGCAGCAGCAGGAGGAGGAGGGGTGGCCCGCCCGCTCCGACGCAGACATGGTGGACTGATCCCCGGCGGGGCCGAGCACAGGCGTCGCCCAGCCCGCGCGCCCCCCGCGCCCCCCGCGCGCGCCCCGCGCCCCCCGCGCCTTCCCGCGCCCGGTCCCTATGGAGGCGCCGCTGGCCGGCGAGGCCGCCGCCGAGCATGCCTAGGAGGGCCGGCAGCGGGCAGCTGCCGCTACCCCGGGGCTGGGAGGAGGCCAGGGACTACGACGGCAAAGTCTTCTACATCGACCACAACACGCGCAGGACCAGCTGGATCGACCCTCGGGACAGGTGGGGGCGCGGGGGGCGCGGGGGCGGCGTCGCGCGCGCGCGGGGGCTGGTGGAGTCCCCGGGTGGGGGGTCCCGCGGCCCTGCGGATGGGGGGCCCACTCCCAGCCGCCCCGTCCGTGCCCGCCCACCCCTCCCTCCCCGGAAGGGTGGGACGGCGGCTCCGCGCTGACACTCGTGGTCCGGGTAACGGACCCCCGCCCGGCGTGGCGGTGGGGGGAACCCCGCCGGACCCCGCTTCCGAGACCGCCTGGGTCCCGGGGAGGCTGGACGGCGGCGGCGGGTGGGGGGTGGGGGGGAGCGCGCCTTCCGCCTACGTGCTGCCCGGTTCGGAGGGAGCCGGCCCCCTGCGGGCCCACCTGTGGCATCGGGGTGCCACCCGCCCGGCTCTGCGTTTGCAAGTGGCCCACGGGGCGCGCCACCCGGCAGCCCCGACGGAGGGAAGCAGCGGGTGGCCCGGCTGGCCTTGCACCCCGGCTTCCGCGCAAGGCGCCCGGGCTCGCCCTGGCCACCCCTCGCCTGCTGGGGGACGCTCCTTTGGGGTTTCCTGCCCCTGGGGGAGCAGCGGGCTTGGGGGGGGAGCGGGAGGACGGGAGTGCAGCAGCCCCCGCGACCGGCCGAGTCTGAGGCTGCAGAGTTTGCAGAGCGGGTGAGGTGGGCACGGGTGGCCCCGGGTGCGCGGGGTGCCCGGCGCGCGCGGCGCTTCCTGCCCGCTCCGGAGGGGGCCGGGTGGGTGGGGTGGGGGCGGGCACCGGATCCCGCCGCTCCAGAAGCCTGGAGCTCCCGGGATGGAGGGGCGTGTGTGTGGGGGTGGGGGGTCGGCCCTGCACCACCCCAGGCTTCCATTTTACACTTCTTTGCAGCAGCATTTTCCTTCTGCTTTGAGATTTATGGCCAGAACTGGAGCGCCCGGGGATTCCTCACGGTCCATTGGCAAAGTCTCCATTTAGGAGGTGTGCCTGCCTGTGCATTCAAATGAACGCACGGGGAGAACGCCAAGGTTTTTTTTTTTTTTTAATATCATTTCTAAAACTTCATTCCTTTCTGGAATGTGGCCTTGGGAGCTTTAGAACCACTTTGGGTGCTTCTCCTGCTAAACTTGCTGCCCCTTCCCCCTCCCCCCCAACCCCCCCCCCCCCCCCTTTAAATTTCTCTAATGGAAGCCGGGTAACTTTATATACTCAGTTGCCTTCGCCTCCCTAGAATGTTGTTTCTGAAAAACGGTTCAAGAGAGCAGTTAGGAGGAAGTCATAAAGGACATTATAAATTTATGGAACGGTCCTCGCTAAATTATCCATGAAGGTGGAAGGGTTTAGGGTTCCCTCCTGGAAGGAGGAAAGACACCTGCTCAAGGCTTGATCCTGGTGCAGCCTGGCCAGCTGACAAGAGTAGCTGTCGCCTTCCTGGCCCCTCCGTGCACTTCTCAGGTGGCAGGAGGCTTGTCCTCCAAGGCGGTTGTCTGCGTTGTGGGGATGGAGGGCGCCTAGCCGTGGCCTCTGAAACACCGGTATACATCCTTGATTCTGTGGCATTGCTTGTAACTTTGTGATAACGTGGGGGTGTCGGTGAGCCCTGGAGTGGGCCCCAGGTTCCAGCTGCCGTCCTGCGTCTGTCTGTCTGGCCTAGTCCGTGGGTCCCCATGGCTGGCGAGCGTACAGGCTGTCCAAGAGAAAGCAGAGAGAAAACCCAGACCTTGCATCCGGCTTATCTGTAGCGCCACTTCCGGAACCCAACCAAGCGTGGTGGCGTTTCTGGCCAACTGGGAAGGGACTCAGCCTTACTGTGAACTCAGTTCGTTTATGGGGGCCGAGCACTCCTGGGTCTTGATGTGTTCGGAGATGCCCATGTGACAGGTCACAAACAGTAGGTCAGTGTCGGGATGCTCTTGCAGACACTCGGGGTAGCATCAGGGTCAATGTGAGCATCCCAAGTGTTTGTTTTAAATTGGGGGTAAGAGTGAGAGTACAGAGGGTAGGACGTTTGCCTTGCACGTGGCCGACCCAGGTATCACATGGTCCCCAGAGCATCGCCAGGAGTGAATCCTGAGTGCAGAGCTAGGGGTAACCCCCGAGCATCAATGGATGTGACCCAAAAGCAAAGCCAGATATTTATTTGGGGGGTATTTGAGGCCACACCCGTCACTGCCTGGGTTTACCCTTGGTTCTGGGCTTGGAGACCATTCCTGGTGCTGCTTGGGGAACCATCCGGGATGCCAGGGATCGAACCAGGGTTGGCTGCATGGTGCCAGGCAAGTGCCTTGCTCACCGTCCTCTCTCTCTGGCCTGACATATTTGGATGGTGTTTTCTTTGCAAACTCAGTCTTGCTAAATAGTGTGAGAGCCAGACGGGACCTGGGGAGAGGACCTTTGGTCTAACTATTAACTCTGGTCCCTTTCGTTACACACTTGGCCAACATCTGGCTGATTGGAATGTGGCCTTCTTATCCAGGCTCAGATTACAGTCCTGAGAGAAGGGATTTGGTCAACAGGGAGGTCCCACAGTCCTTCTGGCCGTGCAATGCCAGTGGACACGATGATTCATCCTGTCATATTTGTTGGTTTAAAGAAAAGAAGGAAATATGTGCTTTTGATCGACTATCGGAATTTGAAAAGTATTTCCCAAAGAGGGTGACCTAAGGCCTGTGGGTTCTGGAACCGCCCTGGGGGGCGGAGGCAGTGGTGCTCTTGGGGGGACGGAGAGTCGTGTCGTTCCCTCCGCCCCCTCCCGAATTCAGGGCAGTAGTTCAAATAAGTTTGGGGATCTCAGGAAATCATGTCGATGTGGTGGGGGGAAGGAATCTGTAATTTGTGAAATTGTAATTTCACTCGGTAATGTTTAAAAATACTGGTGTATCATTTAAAAGTACTAGTAAGTGGTTCTTTGGTTGGTTGGTTAGTTGGTTGTTTCTGTTTCGGGGGCCACACCTGGTGTGCCTTACTCCTTACTAAGGGCCGACTCCTGGCTCTGTGCTCAGGGATCACTCCTGGTGGTGCTCAGGGACCACACTGGGTGCTGGGCCAGCCGTGTGCAGAGCAAGCGCCTTCTGTGCTGCCCTGTCTCCGTAGTGCCACCCAGAGCGTGTGGAAGGGATGGTCTGGGCACTGTGCTGAGGCGGCAGCAGGGTGTGTGTGTGTGTGTGTGTGTGTGTGTGTCTATGTGTGCTTGTGTGTGTGTCTGTGTATATATGTGTGTGTGCATGTGTGGGTGTGTGCATGTGTGTCTATGTCTGTGTGCCTGTGTTTGTGCCTGTATGTGTCTGTATGTGTGCCTGTGTGTGTCTGTTCGGGTGTGTCTGTATGTGTGCGTTTTTGTGCGTTTGTGTGTGTCTGTGTGTGTCTGTATGTCTGTTGTGTCTGCGTGTGTATTTGTGTGTGTGTTTATGTGTCCCTGTGTGTGTCTATGTGTGTCTGTATAAGCCTGTGTGTGTCTGTGTGTATGTGCCTTTGTGTGTGTGTGTGTCAGTGTGTGTCTGTGTGTGTCTGTGTATATCTGTGTGTCTTTGTCTGTGTGTCTATGTGTACCTGTATGTGTCTGTTTGTCTATGTGTCCCTCTGTATGCTTGTGTGTGTCTATGTGTCCCTGTGTGTGTCTATCTGTGTGTGTCTATGTGTCTATGTGTGCTTGTGCATGTGCCTGTGTGTCTGCGTGTCTGTGTGTGTGTCTGTGTTTACCTGTGTGTTTGTGTGTCTGTGTGTGCTGTCAGAGGCCATGCTGTGGCCCCACACTGCTGCACATTCTGTCACTCACCACTGTTTTCTTTTGCTCCGTCTATTTTCTGGGGTCTCCCTACTGGAATCTGGGGTGGGGTGTCCCAGGGCCTCTCCTGGGATACTCTGCTAGTCAGGCACGTGCCTCAGTGGCCGGCTTGAGGATGTAGCTCTGGTTCTCTTTAATCCAGGGAACTTCTGGGTCCACCCAGTTCTGCTGAGAGTCTCCGGGGCCACACCTGGACCCCACGCTGGCCCGAGTTGGGGGCTGTGCAGACCTGCATGTACCACAGCCGTGCTGATCTGGCCCCTGGGTGCAGGTCAGCTTGAGTAAATGTACATGAGTTTCTGAGTCTTGAACTCTTTCTGTCTTTCGCCCTCTTTATTTTTTTTTATTTTTTTTATTTTTTGGGAGGGGGGAGTGAGGGTCACACCCATCTATGCTCAGGGGTTCCTCCTGGCTCTGCACTCAGGAATTACTCCTGGCGGGGTTCTGAGGACCCTATGGGATGCCGGGGATCGAACCTGGGTTGGCCTCGTGCAAGGCAAACGCTATCCTTCTGGTCCTCTTTTTTTTTTTCCTTAACTATTTTTAAATTTCGGGCCCCACGATGCAGCTTACTCCTGGCGGTCCTGGGGTGGAGAGATTCAAGGTGCGGGGGCTCAAACCCAGGCAGTCATGCACGGTCCAGGCCCCCTGTACTGTTTCTCTGGCACCCTAACTTGTTTTCAGAAGGTGGAACGCCCATCCCTGTAATTCTCAGCCGACCTGGCTGGCGGGTCAGTGCGAGGGCCTGAGAATTTGAAGCTGCTCGGGCCCTTAAGTGCCGGGGATTATTGGGGCCACCTTGCCGGTACTTGGGCCCTTGCAGGGCCTCGTATGAGGGACCAGGTGGTACTAGGGATCAAGCCAGGGTCATCCACTTCAAAGGCTGCGACGAAAGTCCTGTTCGAGCTCTCCGGTCCCTCACTGTGCCTGTTTTTCCTTGCACTGACTATTACCCAGAGTCAAGCCCAAGTTCAACTGAAACTTGAAAGCTTTCCCTCTCACTCAGGCGGCCTCTGGGTACTGGACGAGCATCTCTGGCTTAAGGTGGGGAGCAGAGGTCAAGCGGCCAACTCATTTCCCACTGAAGAAATCCCGGGGTTGGGTGGGGGCAGTGAGGAGGAAGAGGATGTCAGTTCGGCTTTCCCCTCAGACGGAGGGATGGAGGGATGGATGGACAGAGACAAGCTTTGGAGAAGTCAGTGCCCCACGCCCCGTGCCTGGCTGCAAGCTGGATGCAGGTCAATGCA